TGGAGCCCAGCAGAAGCCTCTGTTAGCAGCCCATCAAGAACTTCAGCACAGTTAACAGCCTGTTGGGGCTTTTCTTCCTTGCCAGACCAACCGGCAATCTTCTAGGAATCTCGCTGGGAGCTCCGTTTACAGGGACAGGACATGTCCAAAGTTTCTTGTGCAACTCTGGTGGCTCCTGGTTTTGCCTTATCACTTTGATTGCACCCAAGGCATCTGTGCAGCCATTTTACATATCTCTCTTATCAAAAGACAGAGAAGCAGGGGGAAGCTGTTTTCTCCCTCTTGGAGGAGCCTGCACCACCCTTGGCTACGGCTTGCTATTCCCCGCTTTCCCTTGGGGATGTCTTACTTTCTTCTCGGCACCCCTTTTTCTCTCTGTCTCCCTTGTTCTTGTTTTGGGTTTGTTTGTTTGTTCGTTCGTTCGTTTGTTTGTTTGTTGAGACAAGTTCCTCTGTGTAGCCCTGGCTATCCTGGAACTCACTCTGTACACCAGGTTGGCCTTACAATCAGAGATCCACCTGCCTCTGCCTCCCAGTGCTGGGATTAAAGGTGTCCCCCACCACACACGGCTGAACCTCTTTTTCTCTTAACCCTCATTCCTAAACCTATACTAAAATATCTCCGATACCATAAATGATTCTGGTTCACTAAACTGGCCCTAAAATTCTTTTCAGTGCTGAAGCCATAAGCCTGAGTTTGGCCTGAGTCAAGATACCTAAAAATGCTAGGAAACCTCCTAGGCTAGTAGATGTGGCAGTGCGGATCTGTGTTCCTCCCTTACCCCCTACTGTTTCTTACAGCTGACAATATGAGCTCACCTAAAGTAATTCTTTCACCAAGATTCCGCCCCCACATCCAAATAATGGCACGTTCCGGGGCTCGCTCAGAAAGCAATGTGGGACCGGTCCTGCCAAACCAGAACCATCTTCCGTTGTGTTCTCACATAAAGAGAGGTTTGTGGCCAACAGTGTCCTTGTCTCGTAAGGGAATAGTAATGGCTGGATGTGGAGGTGCGTATTTTAGCCCCAGCACTCAAGAGGCTGAGTGAGGCTGGGGGATAGCTGCTTGTTGGAAGTTACCCAGTGTTGGGCAGTGGTGGCACACACCTTTAACTCCAGTGCACCGGAGGTAGAGGCAGGTGGGTCTCTGAGATCAACATCACCCTGGTCTACAGAGTGAGTTCCAGGACATTCAGGGCTACACAGAGAAACCCTGTCTCAATAAAACAAGCAAACAACAGCACAGGCAGTTAGCCTGAAATAAGAGTAAAATCGGGGAGGCGAGAAGAAAGAGTGGGGGAGGGAGAGACAGGAGCTGCCTGTTCCTGGGTGTCATGATGGAAGCTTCACCCTAGCCCCTGGCAGTCCACACACCCAAAAGAGTCTGGAATGCTATGGTGGAAGTTCCACCCAAGCCCCCCTCCCTTATCGCCCTCCAAACCCTGCTGCATCTCAAAAGGCCCGCCAAATGATGACCCCTCCCCCAGAGATGCTCAAGACCACTCCCACAAGGTATTCAAATTGCCCCCTCCCCAGAAACTAGAGGTGGCTTTCCAGTCTGTCTTCTCAGTCATTTCTCTGGGTTGCTGGAAGGCCACCCCGGAGTGTTGCATCCATTAAACATGGACTTTTGCTATTTCGGTTTGATTTAAGCTGATTTGGATTGCTTAGTCAGCAGTGAGGCTTATTGGGGTGCAGAGGCTTTTCATCTGGAGACACTTTTCACTGGGTACTCTGGATCAGTTCCTTACTTTAAAAAACTAATAGACAGGCTGGAGAGATGGCTCAGCGGTTAACAGTACTGGCTGCTCTTCCAGAGGACCCAGGTTCAAACCCCAGCACCCACTGGGCAACTCACAATTGTCTGTAACTCCAGTTACTGGAAATCCAACACCCTCACAAAGACATACACGCAGGCAAAACACCAAAGCACATGAAATAAAAATAAATCCTTAAAATACAAAATGAAACAAAAACTTGAAGATGGCAAACATTCCCCCAAGTAGAGGACAAGAAGCTGTAAGCAAAGGTGACATCCAGGTCCCTAAGCTCTCCAGGGGGCAGGGACAGAGAGGAGGAAAGAGCTTGCTGGAAACAGTTGAAGATATCTGACTTCTCTTATCACTTGGCTTTTGATATCAGGCAAATACTGCAAAGGTAACGAGAATTAATTAAGACCTGATGGCATTAGCATCATTATTATTTAATAACAAAGAATAAGCATGGCAGCTTCATGATTGGCTAATGACTGCTTAAACATTCCACTGCAATATGCAAAGCGTAAACCTGTAATCCACAACCTGCAATTCACTGGAACCTAATTCCAACCTTAGGCCCTCTCTGGTCACAGCAGAGTCCTTACCCACCTGGCAGGTGGAGGCTCCTCCACAGCAAAATCTACATTAGCCACACAATAGAGTAGAAAGGTCTGCTCTAAAGTAAAAAGGGTGGTGTTAAAAAGTTACCTGCGTTCAGAAGAAGAGGGTGTGGGACCACTAAAAATGCATCACTCACTGGAATGTAGGAAACTGATGTCCCTACACAAAGATCCAGTAAAATTCTCCCAGGGCAGCTGCGTGACTTCACGCTAGGATCTCGAAATACTCACAGTGCTTAGTTCTAAGTTTTCTTCTTTTCTGGGAGTGAAGAATGCCAGAACTCAGAGTTTACCATGCTGGCTTTTCTAGGAACTTTTAGCGCGACTTTGGACCATGGACTAACTTCTCTCCTAGTAACCAGCGTCCAGGCTGCTTGTACACAAATGAGTTAATGTTTGCAAAAGGCTTGGAATAGGCTGGTGGTGGTAGCGCACACCTTTGATCCCAGCACAGAGGCAGGTGGATATCTGTGAGTTCAAGACCAGCATGGTCTATAAGAGCTAGATCCAGGACAGCCTCCAAAGCCTTAGAAAAAAAAAATCACAAAAGTAACAACAACAAAAAAGGCTTGAAATAGCAGCCTAGCTGCAGAAATGCTGTCCTATGCTACATAGAATAATTTTTTATGCTATAATAAGAAAACATTGTAAAGGTCAGGAAAAAAAAAAAACAAAGGCAGCCAAAGATCTGGGATCATAGACACCAACATAAGGCGACTTTAATGATGTCCTGTGATGGCCCTCCCATCCCCCAGCCGAGTCTAACTATGTTACAGGGCAGTAAGGGCCAGGTGACCCAGGCCTCTGGGACCCTCACAACAAAAGAGATGCGGGATAAGAGGTGACATCTCCAATGATTTCGGCTTCGGGTCTTGGAGCTTTTAGTGCATTTCTCCTGGCCTCACCAGGTCCCCACATGCCCTGCCTCCCACCCCCACGACACATGCATAAAAAATGAGAGGGCACCGCCTCCAGGGTTGTTCTCTGGGAGCCCGGCTCACGTCAAAGAGATGAGCGAGCGGACCTGGAAGGAAAGGCTGGCAGGAAATGCTAGCTCAGCAGAAGCAGCCCCTCCCAGAAGAGCATCCCCAGCACCGAGGAGGAGGCAGGCAGCCGGGCTTCTCGCTCATTGTTATTCCAGCCAGGTGTCTGCAGGCAGGCAACCCCAGGATACTACGGAGGAATGTGAGCCTTGCACAAGATCGGAAGCAATGCCCCCACCAATGGCCCAGCACCCCTTCCTGGGGTAGGAGAAAATGAGGGGTGGGGGGTGGCTCCAAGCAGAGATTCTGATGGGTCAGGCTTGCACATAAAAGATCTTGCCAGGCTACTCCGTCTGGGGCCCTTCCTCCTACTAAGCAAGCATGAGTGCCCCTCCCCTTCTGCCTCCCAGACAACCTGACCTTGGCTAAGGCCAAATACAAGCCTGGGCAGCATCTGGCCATTCCTAGCATTCTGGTGAGCAAGCCTGAGGAGGGCATATGAGGCTGCTGAGTATCGAGGTGCGCGCCAGGCCCTGGTACAGGTGACAGGCGAGCTTGGCTTCCCAGAGGCATTTAACGTCACCCTAGGTAAAGAATCCAATCCTTACACTCACTCGGTGTTCCTGAAAATGCTGTCAAGGCTTCGTAATGGTAAGTGAGGCCAACCCACTGGCCAGTTTGGGTGAGCCAGAGGCAGGCAAGGTGCTCTCTCTTCGTATCCACACCTCGGAAACGCAGCAGCAGAGCACGCCCCAGAAGGGTGACAGTACAAGCTGAACCTCACAGTGCTCGCTAGCCCTCTCCCCTGGGCACAGCAAATCAGTGCTCATCTATTGGATTCGCCCAGCCCACTGCTGTCTCTGCAACATGAGGTCTTCTCCTTCCATTGCCCTGCTGGCATCTAAGCTCGCAGGCTCCCACGGGGGTGGGGGTGGGGGTGTGCATGGGGTCACAGAGTAGAGACAGGAAGCTGCAGGACCTGCAGTCATGCACATACCAGGACAAAAAGGCCCCTCGCTTGATAGCACAAAATCAATTCAGAAAACGCAAAGGTCTTAGTCAGGGCTGGGGCCACCTAGATCAATATCACCCACCCCATACTGCCCCATCACATGCTTTACGTCCAAGGCAAGAAAGGGTGGGGCTGGGGTGGCAGCCTCATTCTCCACACAGGAAGCTGAGGGAGATGAAGCAACAGCTGGGACACACTTGCAGGAAGGAGAAGGCAAGCTTGGACCACGAGCCAAAGGTGCTCCTCCACGGGCGCTAAAACACACCTGTGAAACGTTTCCCAGGCTGGGCGGTGGTGGCGAACACCTTTAATCCCAGCACTCTAGAGGCAGAGGCAGGCGGATCTCTGTGAGTTCGAGGCCAGCCTGGTCCACAGAGTGAGTTCCAGGACAGCCTCCAAAGCCACAAAGAAACCCTGCCTCGGAACCCTCCCCCCAAAAAAGAAAAAACTTCCTGGATGCTCAAAGACACATCAGACACGCACAGGACAAGGATTCAAACGGCAAGGTGGGGTGGGAAGCCACTGACACTTAGCAACATTAGATGAGGTCATCCAAACCAGACGCCCAGGTGAGGGCCGGGCGGGATATCACAGCAGAGGTAATATGCACACATGGCCTTTTAGTTTACCTGTCGACGACACCTGGTTACTCAGCCATCCTGCCAGGCAATCAAACGGGCCTCAGGGGTCTCACTGAGCATGCTCAAATTCAGGACCACCCAGTATGGCCACACCCAAGGAACTTTTTTGCCTGTTGCTTCTGTTCCCATGTCCAGTGGGCTAATGCCAAGATGGCCACCAACTGCAGAGATATTAGCACACAGCTTGGGAAATGGAAAGTCCAAGATACGTTTCTATTCCTGTTTCCCTGTCATTTCCCTAACTTCTAGATGCTGCTCAATATCCCCCTCATCTTCTAAGCCAGCCAACTTTCTCCGTCGCACTACTCAGACCTGCTTCTGCCCATGTCTACTTTTTTAATACAGTCTCTGTAGCCCTGTCTGGCCTCGAACTCAGTGCGTAGCCAAGGACGAGCTTGAATCCCTGCTTCTCCCGTCTCCACGGCCTAAGTGCTGCGATTCCAGGAATGTACCACCAGGCCTGGCCTGTGTGGTGTTGGTGATTGAACACAGGATCATCTGGATGCCAGGCAGCTGCTCCACCAACAGTGGAGCGCTAGTCGAACGTGCATGAGACTCTAGGATCGGTCCCCAGGACTGAGAACCAGAGAACGTCCTTAGGAACATAAGACTACCCAATAACAAGGGAGGGAGGGAAGGAGGGAGGCAAGCAGAGACAAGGAGGAAGAGAGGAAGGGTGAGATTCATTCAGCATGGGTGTTGTCATTTTGTTTAAGTTAGAAATTACAAGGGGCGAAAGATGAAACACGGGCGTGAGCACGGAACCGGTGAGAAACAGCACAAGCCATGGAAAGCATGTGAGCATAGCTTATTCCCACGGCGTGAGCGAGAGGGAGGGGGAGAGAAGAACGTGGAGAGAGAGGAGAGAGAAGAGATGTAAGAAGAGTTGGATAAGAGAGCGTAAGCGGGCAGGGGTCTATCTTTTAGAGGGGTCCTTTGCACCTGCGTGCAGACTGGTTCTCATGGAACCCTGGGCTGGCCAGAGAGCTGCCGGGTAACGGGCGCGGGCCAGAGTAAGGCCTGAACCTTTCAATGGGTCTGTTCTGTAGTGAAGCAGGGAAAGCAGTCGACACCCAGGAGATACTGGCAAGGGTTCCAAAGAAGCACCCTGTCACTGAGTCCTGGTCACAAACCTGAGGACAGAGCTCACCAGTCCCATCTGAAGGAGACCACGGCTCTCCAAGGGATGGATGGGGTGCATGCCCAAACTCCTAGAGCAGGGGCTTGACAGTGAGCCTGGTTCCAGCTGGCTGGCTTTCTTCCCTGCACCAAGCCTCCTTGTGCCTCCTACATAGACTCAAACATTCTAACCCTCCCCAGTCACCTGCCAGCCCCCTACCCCACTGCAACCTGCAGTGGTCCTTTGCTGCCAGACCCCTCTAGACCATCAGGACAGGACCTGTCCTGTGCAAGAGGAGTTCTGGGTACTTTCATGGCTCAGCGTTTGGTAACAGAAGCGCCTTCCCATGGTGGGCCTAGAGAAGCCACCCGGTGCGCAGGGGACAAACACGACCAGATGGACGCTGAAGCCAGCTGTCACTAGGCTATCACCTGGAAGCCTGACCCAACCTTCCCCCAGATCTCTCCATACCCTCATTAACCCAGAATGGCCAAAGATTACAGACCACAGAAAAAAGCCCCTGTCTCCTGGGCAGCCTTTACTCCATTCACCTGAGGCACCCAGGGCAAAGTCCTGAGGCCAGGTGCAGGCCGGTTAGAGAGCTGGAGATTAAATGTGGGTCCAAACACCTGTGCAAGCGTGGGCCCAGCTACCTCCAAGCTGCATGGCTTCAGGCAGGTCACTTCCCATGCTGAGGGTCACCTCCCAAACAGACTCCATGCGTGCTTGCGTGCGAGCAGCTGGGCTTACCCAGGAAGCAGGTCTGCTTCTTTCTAGAAGCCTCTAGCAGGGGCTGAACAGTGGTACAAACACTGGCACACTCACCAGATAAAGCACAAGTGTTGTGATGAGGAAGTTTGAACCCCCCCTCCCTTCCCCAGAAGCTACAGTAGAGCTTGGCAGGAGTTCCCTGGAAGTTTTTTATTTTTTTATTTTTTTTAAGGGAGCTGGATTTTGTATGTCTGAAGACAATGAGGAAGAAATGGCCACTTATCTGAGGACATTTAAGCTCCAGGGTGGGTAAGAGGATGGATGGGGAAGGTGGTTAGGGGCGCGGGTGGGGGTGGGGGCAGGAGGGGAAGGAGCTGGTGGAGGAGTCGGTCCTCACATTCACTTGCAAAGCAGTCTTTGCTCCCACAGTCAGATGCAGAATTGCAAAGACCCATCATCTCCCATGGAAATGGAGGCCTCGGTTCCTGGAACAGCAAGCATGCCTAACAAAGAGGACTTCCCCAGTTCCTAACTACCAATAGGG